ACCAGAGAAACATACACCCAAATTAAATTTACACCAAAATTATTAATTAACATTACCTTTATTAATTTAAACAATGAGATTAAGTCAAAGTCACAATTTGCACAGACGAATTATCAGAGCGAATTTTCATATACTTACTGTATTATCCTACAGTTACACAATTTATTAACATACTCTTTTTTAGGTTCATTTAGGTTCATTTGATAACGATAGCAGAAAATAGCTATCGAAACGTCAAGGTAATTTTTCAAATTAATTTCTCTACTAATTGGAATTTTCTCTTACAGCTTGAGCCTAAGTGTGTCGCAGGATACCCTCTAGGTGATAGTTCTTGATAAATAATTCGTTCTTATTGCGAAATGGGAGCACTATTTATCAATCTGTAATAAAAGACGTGAGGAAATTCTGTCTTTTTTAAAGACAAACATTTTTGAGGCGAAATACCCAAAAAGAAGTTTGTAAAAAATCACAGCAGGGTTTTGGTGCCACATAAAACACAGTCCACTAAGTGTAATGGTGAAAAACTATACGACGAAAGTTCTAAACCTAAGTGCAGCTAAAAACCACATCCAATCACCTAAAGCTCACTACCCCATAATTGCTGGTACTGTGTCTTGTACCCTTGCGAATATTGCTCCAAACTGGGGTATGCAGCTCGATTTTGGGGGGAATACTGGCTGTTTCATCAGTATCGGTGCCGTAATCCGTCACGTCTTTGCCATAAATTCCAAATCTCCGCGGGATTTCAAAGTCTTCGTCCCTCATCTGCTTGTAGCCCTTCGATGTTGGATCCAAATGGATGTAGCCTGATTTTTTTGAATTTAAATTAAATTCGGAAAAAGGACATTTTGCGGGTCGAGTACTTACTTCTACCTGGTAAAATTGGGGCCTCCTTCCCAAGCCCTTCGATTCTATCCCCGTTCCTGGAGCCCCCCGTTTTTATGCCATTATTTTTGACGTCCTTCTTGTTCTTCCCTCGATCCTCATCTCCTTCATGAGTGGTGCGCTCTGAAATTTCCACAGCCTGAACCGAAAAAAGCCGATTTGTTCACCCAGTTGAGGTTGCGCTAGTTCAACCAACCCGCTCAATATCGCCAATCTGCTCAATAATGCTCCGTCTGGGACGTCCTCGTTCGCCCTCAATCTCCTCAAAACTCTTTGAGCTCTTCGGGGCTTCCGGGCTCTGAGGGGGGGTCGCTTTCGGGCCTCCCATATCCAGCAGGAAAAGAACGCCAGTCACCACCGCTAAAGTGCCCAGAATCGCTGCGTTGTCTACCAGATTGTGAGGCACGGAGTCAATTGAGGCGAACGATAAACTTCCTTAAAGACAAACAACATATTCTTAATGGTTTCCTCAAATAAGGCCACGCGAAGGTTAACGGGTAATCCAGGTGTGCGTCTGCAATGCTAACGACTTAATTACCCATCTAGTTAATAATAAATGCATTTTTGTATCATAAAGTGCAGCAAAAATGGGCTTGGCTTTAACTTAAATGGGCATGGATTGTTGTGCAATAGAATGTTGTTCTAATTGTTCTCAAGCGCTCCAGTTGGGGAAAAATTCAGCTTACCTAAGACAATGAAAAGGATGGCCCCAACGCCCAATAAAACCCATTCCATGATCCTCCGCTGTGTTGGAATCTCCCCGAACAGCTTCCCCAAAAGTAGGGCAACGGTGATGATCAAATAGCCCCCAAAAGTGGCGTCCGCCACTGCATTTCCAACTCTATCCCAAGTGATGTTGGTCAGAAGACTCCATTCTCTGGAAAGCTTCTGCAGGTAGAGCGAAAGGCTGCGGGCCTCATCGTCTGTGACTCTTTTGAACACCAAGCACGCGATGACTAAAAGCTAAAACCAAACAGGTTGGGGAATGTTTAAATATATATATAAATAATCTTTATTTCCTACAGAAAAAGGCTATCGACCCAATCGGTCTTTCTGCCCTGGAATGTTTAAATTTGCTTCAATTTGAGGAGAAATCCGCGTGTTGGACTCAACTCGCTGCTTACCACTTCAAGGATTTTCACAGCGGTCCATAGGTCGAATTTGGCCGTTTTCATTTTGATTAGTTTCGTTAATTCGTTTCGATTTTCTGGTTCATGTTCAGTGGAAAATTTATGCGCAACTGGAAAACTTCTGTTTTTTCTGTTCACTTCTGTTAGAAATTTATTTGCTTTAATAGATACATTGTTAAACAAATTTTAAATTTACTTACCATCGCAATGGAGAGTAAAACCGACAAACTCAACAACTTACTGGCCGCATTTAATCAGCAACAAAACCCAAAGCTTGTTCCACTTTGCGCAAATATGAACAACAATTATCACTCCAACAATAATCGTTGTTGTCCCGGAAAGTCGCTAAATAATGACGCAGAAAACACCTCAACTAAATGCGCTTCTTGTATGAAATTATTCACATACCGATTCCCGGTTACCGCAAAGTTACATTGATAAATAATAACGAACGTCTTGTTTTAAACAATTATCTGGGCGCTTAGTGGTTTGTTTCACGCACACTCAGCCCACACACCCAACAGACTAAAACCAACTATTTCTTGTTGCAGTTTTCAAAGTTTTTCGAATGCTTTTTCGATATTCGGTAGAGTCAAAAGTAATTTTTGCGCTGAGTTTCCCTAGGCCCTGAAGATGGTAGTTGTGCGTGCTAGAGACGTCGGCACCAAATTCCCATAGACCAGAGGCTAATAACTTAATAAGAAAACGCTGTTTTCATAAGAGCGAAAACTCATACGGTCAAACTGCAGGCTTCAAGGAAATACACGATTTTTTATCCGTCGATCTAATATGCGCTGCTCGTACATACATGTGAAAACTTGAAGTTTTTGTTGAAAACCTGCACAGCTACAAGAAGCTTAGCGTCTAAGAAACACGATTTTTTGCAGGAACCTCGCAGAAAAATTGTTAAAGGTCGAACTCCAACATTTCGTAACAAACATGTACCTTGAAACTGTGCATTTCACACGTCCTCATTGTCTTCGCAGGGAATATTGTTCTCGGCTAAAAGCCGTGATGCATACTCGTTATCGAGTAAATAGTCCTATTAATAACAATTAAGATGCAAATAGATGATTTTTCCCTTTAAACTGGCCTTTAAAAAGGCTTCAAATTTCAACTTATATAAAAACAAAAACTAATAAAACACATCGGCGACAAAAAATTAATCCACTTCCAGTCCTAATGACTCAGCTAAGAAGTCGTAGGTGTAAGAATTCGAACGCTTAATTCAAAGGTTATATTAGGGTTAATTTTGGTCAATTAATAAAGAACACTCTAAGGTACCCGGATTCACTTAATGAGTGGCTGCGAGCAGTGCAACATCTTCTAGCGCCTTGTTAGGATGATTTAATGGTGCTTGATGCAGCCCGAAGCCGATTTGCCTTCATCCAGGTTCAACTCACTTTACAGGTAAGTAAAGC